GCTTTTCCTCAGCTAGAAATACAAACAAAGCAAGATTACAACTGCTCAGAAGTTAAGCAAAAGTAAGTTTCTGTCTCCCCACTTATTAGTCTCATGAGTTTAACAAGCTGAATAAGCAATTTCTATTTTATTTTTACTATGAGTCCTGCAACAATGTTACAATGCTGCTTGTAATCATCAAAACTGCTTGCCTGATCAAAACTTTTCATTTGCTTTTAGTCCAGTTACTCATATTCTGTAGCTAATTCTGTTTGGTTGTCACTCCACACAAGCTCACAGCACCAATTGCAGAATTCAGACACTGTCTTGTTCACTTCTGCATTTACCAATTCTGAGTCTTAGGTCTGTTTTAGTCTGTTTGGAATTACAAAAACATGTATGTATTTGCACAAATACGTTGTTATCAGGAAAGAAAAGTCTTCTATGTAGTTAGAGTACAAATAGTCTCCTTCTCCCAGAAGTTCTACTGAGTCAATTAAATATAATTTTGAACAATTTTCAATTAAATAGCCAGCAGCTATTGTGCTTAATTGTTACTGAAGTCCATGCATGACTGCAGGTTTGGGCTTGTGGAAATTAATTTAATTCTTTGTGGCTTAGTAATCTGCTCCACTGCTGGATGTGTAACGTGGTAGAAGGAAACAAATCTGTGTTGGAGCAGTTTAGCGTAAAAAGCACAGATTAATGTAAAAAAACACAGACAAAATAGGTCTAGTCAGCTGAAAGCTTTGCTCACACTATCACTAGGTAAAATAAAACTATGACTGAGAAAATGATGCCCATATGCAGAAGCATTCCTTGGGACTCCATCCAGTACTTTAAATGCTGAGCACTACAGACCAGAGCTCCAAGAGTAAGCTGCTCTCAGATGCCTCAGAGCCCTGCTCAATACAGATGTGATGAAAATGGGAGTCAGAAAAAAACATACACATGAACTGAATATTTCTTAGAAATCTCCAAAACACCCTGGTATATCTGGGCAATAAAATTAGCAAGATGACACCAGAGGACAAGAAAATACCTGAAAATATGACTACTAAACTAAATTTACCAGTGTATTAGCACTCTACATTTACTAAAACTTCCAATATTCTAAAACATTCTATCATGAAATTTTCCATTCAGATAGGTTTTGTTTTAACCTTTTTATTTAATCCTTCACTATTAATAAATGGGTTCAGAACAGAGATGCTTTCAGATGAATAGGGCTTGTAGACCATTTCAGCACAACCTTCCAAGCAGAGCAATACCTCAAAAATGCTTATTTTGTTCCCAATGCAGTAGATGCTGAAGAGTTATTATACCGTGTAATTCAAGTGGAGAAATGATCAAATTAAGTTTCATTATTGTATTAAACTGGAAAATAAAATTTTCAAAACTAGTAAGAGATTTTTGCTTTTCAATTTGAGAAACTTGAATAACACTAAACACCAGGTATTTTGGAAACTAGCTTCGTTTACACTGTCTCAAGTTGGCATTTAAATAATCTTCCATCCTCCCTCTAGATTAATAGCTATTTCTGAAAAATTAGGAGTAGAATATGAGGCTTATCTGCAAGTTCCTAGCTAGTACTGAATAAACATTGTGATTGAAAGTGCTCCAAGAGTCTCAGAGGAATATAAATAATATTTTATTCCTCCAAAAATATTTTTAAAATATTCTTTTGGGTTTGATTACGGTTGGAGGTCAAAGTGGAGATTTGGTATCTATGTTACTCTAAGACTCACCTATCTGAAGTACACGCTAAAACAATGTCTGAATGTAAAAGTATCTGATTTCTGTAATGGTTCTAAATGAAAGCTTCTTAAGAGACCCCACTATATAAATTATCAATCTCTGTCAGTGGTGGTTAACAGCATGCTCTGAGAGTGCTGATTAAAACAAAAGGTCAGAACAAACATCAGCGCTCCAGAGACTCTTGTAGATAATAGTGTAATTAAAATGTAACTCTAGACTGCTCCATGCTTACTATGTCAGCATCTTTCTAGCAGGGCATGGCCAGAGAGCCTGGCAAATTCAAGCAGTCACAGTAGAAAGTGGCAGGAGATGTCTGCTGAAGGAGCAAATAGATAGGCATCAATGTTATCAACTTGTGCTACATCGCGGAACTCAAACAGCCTTTTTATTTTTTTCTTTCTTTTTTTCCTTCTCCCTCTCTCTTTTTTTGTTCCCCTCCTTTCAGAGTGCATGCTGTCCTGTCTTTTGTTCTGGCAGAGATAAGATGTATAAATTATGAGTGGTTGACAAAGTATACTTCAGTGCCTGAGGCAGCTCATCAATCATTTTCCACATGTCGACAGGTAATTGATGCGAGCCCTGCAGGCGCATCTCCATCAGGTAAAAGGAGGAAGGAATTAAATCTGCTGTCATGGTTTGAGCAGATGATCTGTATTTAACATTCTTTTTAATTTAGAAGTTGTTTATTTTAAACTGTATTTGGCCATTCTTGCTCCCTCCAAATCTCTCCACACCTTGCTCCCTCTCCCCGAGACCTCACAGAGCAGGCAGTGTGTAACTGTCTGTATGCAGAGTGTCACACAATAAAAACCCTTCAGCAGGGTGAGAGGGTGCTCCAGCATCGGACAGCAAGAGACCACCCAACGACTGCTGGGGAGCAGCTGAGGAGCTTACTTTCTACTTCACTGAAGCTTAACATCAAAGATACTGCTTGTCAGGCAATTATCTGTCAAGTGAGTTAGGTTCTGATCAATCTGGGATACTAAATACACAGACTTTTTCCTTTGGTTATTATCTTTATTCCATTTAGCTACACCTCTCAATCTGTTTACATTTCTTGTCTTTGAACAAAGCATTTTAAAGTTAAAAACTCAGGGCAGAGACAGAGAAGAAGGAAGTAAGAAATGGTATTGGGTCCAACTGGAATGGAGTTAATTTTCTTCATAGCAGCTTACATAATGCTATGGATGAGATTTATAATCAAAGCAGAGCTGACAACACACAAATGTTTTAGCCATTGTTAAACGGTGTTTGCCCAGTCAAGCCACTCCCTGCTCCTCACTCTGCTCCCACAGTGAGTACACTGGGTGTGTGCAAGGCTTGGGAGGAGACACCAGCAGGAAGAGGGACGAGACTGAGAAGATATTCCATGCCATGCACTGTCCCACTCAGCAATTAACCAGCGAGGGGTGGGTGTAGGTGTGTGAGCCATCCCGTGCTGGGGAACTGCCCAGGCACAGGCCCACCCAAGTGAGGTGGTGAGTGACTGCATCACTTGACTCGCTTTGGGGTTTTTTCCTCTTACAGTTAGTTAAGTGCACTACATCACTTTGTGATCTTTGTTAGCTACAATTTACTCTGAAAATCCACTGGAAGAGGTAAACCTGTTAAATCCTGCATTATGTGGAATCTCACAACATTAGATACCATCCTTAATGTAATTAAGCATTCTGCATGGACTGGAGCTGAGGCGCCTTTCCACCACAATAGAGCAGCATTTATTTGACAAGCTGCTGAGCACCAGAAACTACATAGTGCTGCTGAAGGATGGCATCATATCCATTGTTCTGCAGTGGGTGGAGGTGAAAGACAACTGTTACAGGAAGTTTTCTGTTGATAACATTCTATGTCTTATATACATTCCCAGTCTGGGCTGGAAATAGTGCAAATCCAAGAAAACAGTGCTCCAAAGGTTCAACACTGACACAGAAGAGCTTCCTCCGTGAAATACTCAATATTGCCAACACAAAGGGCCTCTAAATCCATGGCTTAGTAGCACAATGCTCCCAAACACAACACAGATGGACTGCAGAAGGAGAAAAGCTTTCACATAATTTATCAGTGAAAACAGAAAGACATAAATTCCAATGGTCTCCATCAGTTTCAAACCAAATCTCACTGGGGTACAGAGATGATTATATATTAGCTACCAAAAAATAATGCTCATACTGATTTTCAGAATGGACCACAGTTAAATTTCCTCTGGCATAGTTTGAAGTGGACCTGAGCAACAAGAAGGAAGTAAAAGACAGAGCTCTGTGAGTTACTGTCACTGCCATTCTGAAATGCTTCAAGTAAAAAAGCTTAGATCATGGAGAAGAAAAAATTAACAGAAAAAGGTAGAGGAAAGATCCTGAAAAGGACAGCTGTCTCTCTGATGAATAATATAGGTGACCAATTCATTAAGAAATGTGATTACACCTAAGAATATCTAAAGACATTACCTTGAAGAGAACAATTTTGAAAAAAGAAGAAAAGTGGGGTAATGTTAGAAGTGTTTTGGGGATGAAGAACACTTTACAAGAAAATAAACTACAAAGTATTTATAGTTCTGATTCGACAAAATATTTCCAAAACTTTAAACAGCAGTTCATCTCTGCAGCTAAGTGTAATAGTTGAGATTTGCAATGGTGAAATATATATTTCCACTGATTTGTCAAGTGCAGTATATCTTGCTTCTATCTAAAATAATTATTCTACTATTCAATAAATATAGTAACAACTCAGCAACAACATGTATCTCCCTTTGGTCTCCAAATCCAAAATGTGCTTCCTATATTATAGAACAAAGTACTAAATATTAAATTTTAGCCTTAACACCATGTATACATGACATATACTGCCATAAAATCTGAGAAATAAACTGAGTCATTTCAAGGAAAACAGGAACTTTTGCTTACAGTCTAAAAAAGAATTAATGAATAATTTCACTCAAGGTCAAAATAATCAGACTTTGATCAAAGTATAAAAATATTATTTCTAAAACATTTCTGATCAAATTCTTATGCCTTTCATAAATAATATATCTCATTTTATACTATATCATTGGTTAGTTTATGTATTTGCAATTAGTTTTTCAGCTCACAAGAGCATGATTTCGAACCAAATTATCTTTTCAAAATTCTTTCGACACTGAAACTAATAGATTATAATAACACTCCTGATCCATCCAGAAAACTTGCCAAGATCAGTTCACTTCATAAAGATAATAAACTTTAGTAAAAATTTTAAATTATTTTGCTGTGAGGGGAAGATAAAACATAAAAGAAATTATTGCTTGGAAGCTGTTTTCTAAACAAAACACAGCACCTTCTCAAGGCAAAGAAACAAGAGGTCAATAATATTGGGTTTGAGCTACTGCTGTAATATCAGCACATAATCCACTGCACAAAGGCCCAAGTTCCTGCTCATATAACAATATAGCACTTGATTACATGGCACGCATACACAAATTCTTGTCAAAGTTAATATTTGTCGGTACAACAGAAGCCAATCAGTGAGTTATCAAGGATGAAGACTAAGAACTTCTGTTTAGCCTGGAGAGAAGTCTAATTAAAGTTCTCTAGCCCTAAGTACTTCACATTGCTTGCCAGATTCAGAGTGGCTGCTGACAACTTGAATCTCCTCTTTAGTCCTGAAAAGAGCTTTTTCAGCATTCATTTTGATGTGGAGGCTTTAATCTGGCTGCCATTTCCAACACATTTTATCAGCCCTGAAAAAGGCTTTTTGTTTATTCCAACTGGCAACTCTTTTTTTTTTTTTGACAGCAAAGCTATAGGTTGGCAAATGTCAAAAGTTCCATTATAACTCTTCCTTTCCTCATGTCTATCTTGACTGGTATTAGATTGAGAAGTTAAGCACATATCACAGCCAAATTTTTACCAGCAATTTGACTCCTTTCTTCCCATGTTGATCACCAGATCAGCAATCCCTCACAATTCAGGGTACCCTATCTACATGTTCACTGGATTCTCGTGCTTCCAAACCCTGAACAAAACTTTTCTGCAAAAGGATAGCAAATAGAAATAGAGCATGCCTGCAAAATCTACTCCAATATTTTTATTTTATTGCATTGTATTTACTTATACATTTCTGAGATATTGCCATTCATATCTTGGTACTCTGATTTCTTTGTGGCTCTTGACTGCCTTGAAGTTTAACTCAGTAAGTTTGACTAACTTGGGCAAAATATTAGTCCTTAGCAATGTAAATTTCTTAACAGTTCTAAAGAGCACAAGGTCCTTCTCACCAACTACTGTACTCAGGATTGTGCAGGAAGTCATTTTTCCCTAACAGTGTGAACCAGCTCTCGCTGAGCATCTCACCTAGAGGCAGTGCCACCTCCAATCTGGTTCCCAAGTCAGTCAGATCCTCCACCTTCTTACAAGGCAGCACTGTATTTACTGAGCTAAAGAAACAGGCTTTCCTCTGGTATCAATCATCATAGTTCATAAAATAAGATTCCACATCATTAATTAATTTTCCATTTTATTGGGCATTTGACTACTTAGCATGCTTTCCAGACAACTGTTTTGAGCACCATCACCTTTGTTGGCAATTCTCAAACTACATAAGCTTTCTAATTAAATTAAGCTTTGCTGTGTGTGAAGAAAGAGGGAATATTTTATTCTAACTTTGTATAGCTGAAGAAACACAGTAGTCACTGGCTCAAACAAGCTAATGAAGATGTATTGCCTTTTTGACTTACAGCATGTGTTCCAAGCATGAGGACATTACACAGGATACATTTATTACCATATAATGTAATTGATCAAACAATATACAAACCCCTAAAAACAGACCATTAAATACTTTGTGCAGGACACAAGAGAAGCACTCTCTTCACTATCATACAAATACTACAAATTTAAAATTATCATCTAATGATTATCACTGATTTAGTCATGCAAATGACTTAATACCATACTGGTGAAAATGTGCAGGCTAGTGTCACCAGCAATTATGCTTTTATGAACTGGCACAGTTCATGGGAAATAAGACTTAAGCTGATGCCAATTACTTTAACAAAGTGTCCCTAAACCAATTTCCAGATTGAGAAGACAGGAAACCAAGGAAAAGAACAATTCAGATTCCATTACTGTTCAAGCTTGCATTTTCATGCTGAAATGTAACATTCTGATACTTGGATCAGAGTTACCAGCATTTGTTCATGAATATATAAGGTAGAAACCAGTGGGAGCTGGCCAGAATATAAGCACAGCTGCAAATGTTTTTCTGTCAGTCTGAGGGAGGGAAAAAGCAATATACTTTACGGAAAGAGTCACCAGAAGTGTAAGAGGGGAAAAAAAAATGTTCATTCAGAGAAGAATGGAATGTGCAACTTCATATTTAAATAAGTTCATCCCTTCCTCTAAAGAAAAATTCAGCATGAATATGGGGAAGAGAACACATATTTCCTACCCCTGCAAGCCTAACGAATTTCCATAAAAATAACTGCTTTTCCTGTAAACTTGTCTCATGTCTACTCAAGAGCAGAGAGCAAGACAATGGAGAAAATACATTAATGAAGAAAATATATTTTTCTTGCCAACACTCTTCTCCACATACCTGAACTTCAGAGCTTGTTCACAAAATATTTATTTCTGGTTGAGAATGTTTGCCATGCTGTCTAGCATTGCAGAGCACTAAACAACTATCCTATGTAAAAGCAGAAATCCATATTTCTCCACAGATATTTTGCTCAGAAGATATAGGTTGTCCCTGTCTCAACAATCCTTAAAGGACATTTTGTGGCATAAGCATTTTGTAGCCATCCTGAAAAGAAAGCCAGCATGACTCCAGTTTCATTTTAGAGTATGAACAAAATTTTTAATGAATTTAATTTTTAGTTGCCACCATTGCTTTTGTGCTGCTCTTGGGCCTATATAAGTTTTAAGTTTACAGGAAAATGGTTCACAAATATGATGAAAAATACTGCTCAAAATTATTCCACAGATGGGCAGTGACTGAAGAAAACATCCATCTCCTAAGTGATTATTTGTTCATGGCAAAATTAAAAGAAATAGGAACAGATCAGGAATAAAACATACCCTAAGAAAAGTTTTCTCTGCTTTTAAAGACAGCCTTGTTTGATTTTTTTTTTAGGTATGTAATACATATTCAACATAATGTGAATTTTTCTAAGCAAGGTACTACAGTAGCATGACCTTAGATCAAAGCTCAGAAGCTATTTGAGTTTAATGAATATAAGTGAAAACCACATTCAGCAGGTGTGGACACACATACCTACATGTACCATACATACACACTTACTTGAACTATTTTCAATACAATTTGTAAACTGCCCACGAGTCAACAAGTTTGAAAAGTTTAGCTTATAATTTTTCAAGTGTTGTATTCCAAAACAAAGAGACAAAAAATCCCAAAAACAAACATAGAAGTTAAGGTCAACTGTAAACCATTTATGCAGCAGTTTGGAGGTGGGGAAAAAAGTAAAAAGAAATAGCACTGTAGCTTGAAGGTTGCATTTCAATCTATTACCTAATTACCAGAAATACAAACTAAGAAATCAATACTGTTCATATACGTTCATGAAAGATGGGTTCCACCTGGCAGCTCCTAAGAGCAAATATCTGCTCTATTTTACCTGCTCCCACTTCCTATGAACAGGCAATGAAAACTTTGGACATGTTTATATAATAATAAGGATATAACAATCCAACAGAATACTCAGAAATTTAACACCAAAGTTGACTAAAGCAATTTTCCCTTTGCCACACACAGGCTGTTGCACAGGATTAGGGTCATTTATATAGAAAGAGTTAAACTAAAAATAATTTTTTAAAAAAAGAATTATCCTCAAGGGGAAAAATCCCTCAAACCATAATACACTACTGAACTTGCATTATTTTCCCAAGAGACAATCTCTCAGATTTACTGTGCTTACTTGTATAAATGCAACTTTCTCTAGCCTAAAAAAGGATCAGTGCATCTAAAAGCTCTCCTGTTTCTTCTGTCAGCTGGGACAACAAAGTATACTATCTTTCTTAATAATTTGGACTGTATATATCTTTAGATCAACAGTGTTACAGCACAACTACTGTTAAAGCATCTTCTGACCAAGTTAATAGGACAATGAGGAACGAAAATGAAGAATTTTAAAGTATCAGACTCTTAACTATTATGAAAAACAGAAAACAAACGCAGCCCAACAACCATCCACACAGGGGGATATATGCCTGCCTGCATCAAGAAATGCCTGCTTTTCCTAATGCTCAGAATTGAGCACAACCCTCCTCATGTTGCATCACATCAAATTCCAGCCCACTACTCCGTAACAGAATGTAATTATTTCAAACTCTTTCCAAATCCTTACAATTTTCTGGTGTTAGACCAATGTGATCTTTGATTCCTTGAGTAACTTCTGAGGATTTGGCCTCTTTGAGCATCCCACTAGGACTGGAGATCAAGCTTAACATACCAAAATCCCCTTACTGCTTAAAACCAGACAGATTTAAAATTCATCTTTTACTCCTATAACAACTAGGACAGAAGGACACTGTGAAAAAGGACTAAAAAATCCCACTGAACATTTCTCCAACTTTGAAAGATCAGGAATCAGTCCTCTTGAAAATGCAGTTTAACTTTTACCTCTGTTACAGGACAGAGTCCAGAGCACAACACACAGCCAAATTCCCATGCATAACATTAAACTAAATCTGTGTTGTATTTTTAATATTTGAGGTTTTCCTGGGAACAATGTGCAGTGCTAGAGGCAGGTAAGCAGAGCTAAGGAATCAGATAGCTAACCTGTTGGTGAGAATTCACTAAGATCTAAAATACATTTGCTCTTTCCAGCAGAACACATCTAGGCTAAGATGCCCATATGTACACTTATATAATATTATCCTTCATTAATTCATAAATATAAAACGTAGGTTCCATAGTCCATATACTCATTTAACCTATCCTTATTCTCTCTCTCTCTCTCTTTTTTTCAATATTCCAATTAATAATAATTACAAATAAAAGAACAGAAAGTGCAATTGTTCCCAGGTAGCCAAGCTTTTCCACAGGAAAGCTAAGTCCTGAATGTTTAGACAGAAACTTAGAATGTTTACATGACCAAGTCAGGTTTTTGCAGTTCCTGTCAATGAAGAAGATTCATCTGAGTTTACAGGATTTATCCCACTGTGAAACTGGCACTTAGACAATAGACTCATTCAGCTGTGTTTAGTCCTGTGAGTCACTGAGCCCAGAAAGGGAGCTGGGGATGCCACATAGCTTTCATTCACATGCTAGTTGGAAAAAAAAAAATCCAGGTGTAATACCTCCAATGTTTAGGAGCAAATGGTGACTAGAGAAAGACATGGTAATGGTGGAGAGCTCACCAGGACAGCAGTGGCAAAGGTAGGGAGCCATGAACACCAGCTACTTGGTAGTACTCAGGATTGTACATCCTTCACTTCAAAAGTACTGAGTTTCATTCCTTTGCACTAAATTTATGTTTTTATTGCGGTTCCTACCTTCAAAATCTATGTGTTTCAAAACACTCACAAAATTAATGTTTGCTTATACATGCATCATGTGCAAGGCACACAGCCTTAGGCCTTTGGCCATTCTTCCCAGAGAGGCTGAGTGTCCCTCAGTGGAGATATCCAAGAACTGTCGGGACACAACCCTGAGCCACGAGCTCTAGAATGACCCTGCTGGAGAAGGAAGGTTGGACCAGATGACCCCATTGTGGTCCCTTCCCAACCTTACCCATTCTGAGATTCTGTGATAGGTTCTGAACCTTGTCTTGGGCCACAAAGATGCTTAATAAATAGGACATTTAAGGAACAGTAGAATGGATTTTACAAATGAAATATCTTATCTCTGGTCTCCTGAAAAGCATCTTCATCTCATGTATCTTCGGTTATTTACTCTCTTA